CAAGACAAAGGCAATCACATTTCACCCTGAGAAGTGCCCTTTGCACCTTAGATTATCCTGGTATGGCAAGGTTTCTCAAATGTTTGAGCATCAAGTGAAGCCAGCTGATTCAAACTGCTGTTACAATTAGGAGTAACAGGATTGGTGTTCAACACGAACGGAATGTTATTATCCAAACAAAAAAAAGTTCCACCTATCACATAGATGTGTAATGTTGGATATGATATTCAGTATCAGTGTGTTGCCAGGCATGTAGGCCACAATCCTGAAGGCGGGCTGATCATATCAAACAGCACTTCCCTTTTTTTTTTGCAATGGCAGGGTATTGACCATATTTAACTGGTCCATTCTTGCAAACTTCAGAACATTGTGTCCAGCATTAAATACATTTCTGCAATTGGAGGAATATGTTCAAAGTATTCCATAGTTAATGACTACAATTGCTAATTTCTAAGAATTACACTCACAACCATTTCAGAGTTGTCAGTCCAGCCCAACATGTGGTGTATTTGCATGAACTGGAAGCTGTGTGTGCGAACACATAACGCCCTGTTATTTGTGCACAGAAATAACATGGACAGACACTGCGTCTCTTTCAACACAACAAAATAGGTGTCAGCCATTCAGTGGGTAATTTCTAAGCAACGCCAATAACAGGGTTTCGTCTGTTTAAAACTTAGACAACGCTGTGAAATGTCTGCTCCAGCCCCACAGGGTTCCGTCTGTTTAAAGCCACAAACAGAAAAGTCCAGTTTTCTCCTGGAGTCTGAGAGAAATCAGGTTTCTCAATGAGGCAGAATTTCAGCTGCTGGGGGCCTCCGGGCCTCGCCCCGCTCCTCGGTCATTCTGATTGGGTTGGAGGACCTGCCATTTACGCTCGGCACTCCAACCAACAGGAACGTAATTAACACTTGGCATGGGGAGTTGAAAAACATTCTCAATCCCTATAATTAATTGGAAAATACGTGAGTTATCATGGTTTTCTCCACAATTCCGTAAATTTTTCAAAGAGCTTTAATACTCCAACATCTAGATAAAACTGAGCTTTTAAAATTTTTCACTTCTTCCCATTCTGATCGGTACTGAAGGGTTGACTCTTGTTATGTTCAGTCCTACGACCACTGGTTCCTCTCTCGTTCTCTAATTATATACCAAGTGAATCCCTTCCCACAAACAGAGCAGGTGAACAGGGTCTCCTCGATGTGAATGTGTTGATGTTTCAGAAGGTGCGACGCGCGTGAATTCTCTTACGCACATGGAGCAGGTCAATGATCTCTCCTCAATGTGAATTTGCTGGTGTGGCACCAGGGCAGATGACCGACTGAATCCCTTCCGACACAGAACAGGTGAATGGTTTCTCTCCAGTGTGAGTGTATTGGTGTCTCAGCAGGTTGTTGCTGCTTTTAAAACTCTCCTCACAGTCAGAACATTTGAAATTTCTTATCTTAGTATGAACTCGCTAGTGTCTCAACAGGCTGGATGAATTAACGAACCCATCTCCCCATGCAGAGTAGGTGTATGGCCATTGCCCACAGTGGGTGCACTGATGTACAGAGTTCAGATGATTTTCTGAATCCAGTCCGGCAGTGAGAGCACCTGAAATGGAAGCTCTGAGAATAGCAAGTGAATGGATATAGAGAGGTTAAATATGTGGGCAAAAATGGCAAATGGATGAAATGAGAAATCACACACTTTGGCAAGTAGGATAATAAAAGTTGATTATTCTGTCAGTGGAGAGAAAATGCAGAATGCTACAGTTTTGAAAGAATCGGATGTCCTGATACACGAATCACAATAGTTAGGATAACTTTACTATCCTGAAAACATGGCTTAAAGAGTGGTAACATAGCAGTTGAACATCTGTCGATACACAATTGTCAGGCAGGGGTGACGGTGGATGAAATTAAGATAGAGGTTTTGCATTATTGGTTAATGAATCATAATGTGATGTGGGATGATATAATAAACAAATCATAAGATCTGACGCGTTGTGCTCCACAGAGCCTGCCAGTTTGTCCTGGAATTGAAACTTTAAACAGAAATAACAGCTACATTTTAAAATATCACTGCAACGTGATCTGTGGGGCTCTGCACTGACCCTGTGCCCAGATGCTTCCACCAGATAGTGGTCCCAGATTTATTTTTTACTCAGAAGTGAGATGTGCGGTTTCAGACTGGCAGCAGAGAAAAAGGAAGTTGTGCTGTCTGGGAATGAAAAAAGTGGTCAGTTTCATGTTATCAGCACAAACAGACTTCCTGCCTGTGAGTTTGACAGCACCGAGAACAAGCATACAGATTGCTGCTGGTGTCAGCATTTTAATTCAACACAACATTTGATGCCTCTCTACACATGCCAATCATTCTCCATACTTGAGTTCAATTGACACAATTGTTGTCTTCCTTGTCTGAAAAAAAAACTGAAGAGCTTTTGAGAGGCAGTGGCAGTGTCCCTGCCTCTGGGCCAGAAGGTTCAGGTTTAAATCCCACTTTCCTCGGAGGTTTGGCATAATCTGTCTGACAAGGCTGATGAAAAATTATTATAATGAGCAGTAACTGACAAAGAAACATTGGACAGTCAGGAACTACACATCTGCAATATTTTAAGTCTTTAAAAGAAAGAAATATGACCCATTTCTCTAATCTACTGAGATGTTATTACACAGCTCTGAAACAGGTACGACTTGAACCCAGATCTCCCTGTTTAGGGGAAATGACAACTGCTGCACCACGTGAGGATCACTTGCAATGTTTCCCTCTCTGTACATAAATCTGTTCCAGACTATCATGTAAATACTGGCTTTAGTTTCTTCCTTCACCAATTGGCTATGAGGAGCATTACAACAGGGTCTGGATTAATACTCATTAAGGTTAACTTTATAACCCGGCAGGACAAACCTTCATTGCTTAATTACCAGCCTTGTTATTCCCACTGATTGAAACTATAGCCCTGATAATGATGCTTGACAATTAAGAGCTTATCACATATTTGAATATGATGGGCAATCAATGATTAGCTGTTTGTGATAAAATACATGAGTTCGTAAATGTCACTGCTTCAATTTTTGTTGTTTGCTGACAATCGGAATGGTCTGAGCATTAAATATAATGTATGCATTGCTGATACACGCACGCATACGTTCTAAGGTGTGAATGTTGTTACAAGAGGCTCTGGATTAATATAAACTGACATAAACTGGAGAACAGTGATTACTCATGCAGCCTGGATTATTATCAACCAACACAGTTTCTCGTGCAGGAATTCCTGATCTTGGCCCTAGGTTAAAGTAAACTATAACCTGATCAACTGTAGTGATAACTGTTGTAGTATTAAGTGTGACCAGTGCAGTACAATTGAGATAAATTCTTACATGTCCAAATAAAATTCAACAGAAACAAAATTAGTGTTTTTACTGGTTCAGATCGTTGCCAGAAAAATGGCTTTTTTACCACTGCTTTGATTGGACATCTGGTTAATGTAACCAGGCTGTGCATCAGATGTCAAATCCAGAATCTAATGATTTTGAAATTAGATTCAGAACTACAGCTTGACCATAACGTTGGCTAACACCGCTGCTGTTAACCTTCCATATGCTAATAACTCCAACACCAACTTCAAGAATGCAATTGCATTGATTTGGATTTATTTGAGTGAAATTCCTTGAATAATGGAATTTGACAGGAGAACAAGGCCATTTGGCCCATCCATTCAGCTGTTTTAAACAACTGCCCAATTGTTCCATTTCTCCAATCTTTCTCCAAAGCCCTTAGAAACTTCTTTTTCAAATAGACAGTTTCCTTTTCAAAGTTCCAACTGAATTTGTTTCCTTCAGTCTTTCAGGGAATGCATTCCGGATCATATTGACTCACCAGTGGGGATGCGGTACATTTAAAAGACAATGACTGGGAAGCAATATCAATACTAGAGGAAATTCTTGGGCACAATGCATGCCCTTTATTTATCTGGATGAAACTATTATGATTGCAAAAGATACCTACAGATCCAATTGTACACCTCCATCTTCAATTTTACTACAGATTTAACGAATGCATTTTAAATGTGTTTGGTCAATAAATCAGGACTGTAATACAAATAGGTTCAAATGTTGTAAAATTATCAAGTGCCATTTTCAGACATGAAAATTAAACCTGCTGTTTCACTCTCAGTCAGACTAGATCAGAAACACGCACATCTATGTGTTTCAGATCTCCAACATCTGCAATTCTTTGTTTTGTGTTATGAAACAAATCACAATTTTGACACCAATCTCTGATTTTTCAGCATGTTTCCAGCATTCATCATTATTCTTCCTGACACATTTGCAAGGAAGCTGCTGTTCTGTGTCTAGGCCTCTGAACCAAGGAAGAGAGCAAATCAAATCTATTTCTAATGCACTTCAGCACTGAAATTACGATGACTCAGCTGTGAGTGAAAAGAGATGATAAAGATTAAAGCCCCATTTGTCCCTCTCAAGTGACCCTGCTGGACTGTATCCAAGCTAAAGGCCTGTTTCTGACATATGATCCTCTTCCCAGATTGTCCTTTATGAATCCAGGAAGGTGATGTTAAACACTCAGGTGGTAAAGACAAAAGTTACAAAAATGTCTCAAGAAGAGGTGACTAATTTTACATTTGTACAGAATATATAAACCCATCGACAAATCAGGATCATCAGAGTGAACAGAGTCCTGGATATGGTTAGCAGCATCAACAAGTGCAGAATCCAAACCTTGCGTTGCTAATGAACTCCCTGGTGTGTTTGCAGGTGGGATGACTGAATGAATCCCATCCCACAGGCATTACACGTGAATGGCCTCTCACAAGTGTGAATTTGCTGGTGTTTCATCAGGTTGGATGACTGAGTAAATCCCTTCCCAAACATTGAATAAGTGAATGGCCTCTCTCCAGAATGAACTCGCTGGTGATTCATTAGATTGGAGGATCGAGTGAATCCCTTCCCACACACAAGGCAGATGAAAGGCTTCTCTTTTGTATGAACCTGCTAATGTGTCAGAAGGTTACACGAACAGGTAAATCCCTTCCCACAGTCAGAGCAGCTGAAAGGTCTATCTCTTGTGTGAAGTTGCTGGTGTATCAGAAAGTTGGATGAATTAATGAATCCCTTCCCAGACACAGTGCAGGTGAATAGTCTCTCCCCAGTGTGAATCACCTGGTGATACAGCAGGCGAGATGGACGAGTGAATCCTTTCCCACACACACAGCAGGTGAATAGCCTCTCCTCTTTGTGAGTATACTGGTGTGACAGCAGGTGCTTTTTGCTTTTAAAGCTCTTCTCACAGTCAGAACAATTAAAAAGTTTGTTATCAGAATGAGCAAATTAGTGTTTCTGAGGATGGGATGACTGAGTGAATACTGTCCCACAGACAGAGCAGGTGAATGGCCTCTTCCTGGTGTGGCTACGTTGATGTGTCATCAGATCCTTTCTGCATTTAAAACTCTTCTCACAGTTTGGGCATTTAAACGGTCTCTCATCAGTGTGAAGAAGTTGGTGAGTCACAATGTGTGATGATCGATCAAATCCCTTTCCACACACAGCACAGGTGAATGGCTTCTCCTCAGAGTGAACTTGCTGATGTGTCACAAGGTTGCATGAATGCGTAAATCCCTTCCCACACACACAGCAGGTGAATGGTCTCTCCCAGTGTGACTGCACCAATGAACTTCCAGTTGAGATGGGTAATTGAATCCTTTCCCACAGTCACCTCATTTCCACCATTTCTCCATGGCACAATGCCCTGGTGTCTCCCCAGTATGGATGATCAGTTGAAGCCTCGCCCATACATGTACAGTTTCTCTTTGCTACAAATATGTGACACTTTTTCCAGGATGTGTAATAGAATGCTCTCCTTCAGTTATGTTTGTGTCTTGTTGCTTTTCCAGTCAGACTGACGTTTGATATCTTCTCCTTTAGACATAACCGAAACCATTTCTCCTTCTATTGTCAGAGTTGAATGGATCAAATGATTCTGTCAGATGTAGATGTGGCACTTGGTTTGAATTTCCAGTCTGCAATCCTCTTCCAATACCTTGTAAAAAGAGCTGACAAAAGTCCTCATTATCAGCACAGAACAGAAAATCAGAACAGCCAGTTGCAGTTTCTCTGAAACATTTCCTGTTCTTCCAGAAATGAGTAACAACGCATCAAGAGATACAAAGAGAACCTTCATAACAAAGTCAGAAGGTTATTCCCGAAATCTATGGGACAATCCACACCCAGGCTACACAGTATCTGTGGAAACTATCACGTGGCATCTCAAGTAAATAATAGTGTCCAAGCACTGGGACCGATTGGAAACCAGACAAACTAAACCCCGCCCGCTCAACGCAATTTCACTACGCTGGGACGTAAGCACTCTGCTCCCCGTGGATGTAAACTGGCGTCTGCAAACGTAAACTTCTTCCCGGGGACACGAATCCGGGACTTCCAGATTGTTTGGCGTATTTAATAAGTGTTTATAAACACTCCCCGTCATCCCCCCAGCACCAGCGGTTCCTCCGTGGTCCCGCATCCTCACCGCCTGCAGTTTACAAAGGTTATTTGGAATGTGGGAACAGGAAGAGGGCATTCTGTCACTCATGACCCTCAATGACAGAAGAGGTCTGTGACCCAACTCCATTTACCCAGGTATTTATTTAATACCAGCTCTTCCAGTCTGTTACAATCTGATTTAAAAAGACCTTTATTTTACATCACACCTTCAGCTTGGAAAGTGTCCTGAGATAAATTTCAGAAACATCAACTCACAGGGGTGATGGGTGAGCAGGGCTGGGTATGGGAAAACACACGGTAAGCAGAGTTTTGAATGATCCCATGCATCCAGGTGAGAGGCTAGTCAGGAATGCAATGCAATGGTCAAGACTGAAGAGAACTCGGGCTTGGATGAGGGTTTCACCAGCAGATGAGCTGTGATCAGGTGGCAATGGTTAACATAAGAGAATTGAAACATCTGGGACTATTATTAGTATTACATACGGTCAGAAGGTCATGTTGTGGTTAAATATGTGCCAGAGATTGTGAACCGTGTCTTTCAGTTTCATAGTTCCAAAGGAGAGGGTGGGTCAATTCAGAATCATATTTTTGTAATGACAATTCAAGATGGTGGCTTTGATCTCGGCAGTTTGTAATTGGAGGATGTTGCCTCTCCTCTAATACTGGATGTGGGATAATCAGTCGGATCACTTAATGACAGTGGAGGAAGGGAGATCGAAGGCCGTGAGGGTGGAGCTTGGTGTTTTCATTGGATATGTGAAAACTAACAGTACTTCCAGATGATGTAATCTAGTTGTAGCCTGAAAAATGAGGAGTGAAAGATAGATCCAGTGTGGCTCATTGGTTTGCACTGCTGCCTTACAGTGCCAGGGACCCAGGCTCGACTTCAAACTTGGGTGACCGTCTCTGTGGAGTTTGTATGTCTCCCTGTATCTGTGTGGGTTTCCACATCATCTAAAGATCTGCAGGTTAGGTGGATTGGCCACGCTAAAAAATGTCCTAGTATGTGAAAGTTAGGCGAGTTAGCCCTGGAAAATCCCTTGTGGGGTGACGGGGATGGAGTGAGTTTGAATGGGGTGTTCTTTGGGTTGGTGCAGACTCAGTGGGCTGAATGGCTTCTTTCTGCTCTGTAAGGATTCTATGATCCTCAGGGGGACACCAAGTCTAAGGAAAGGAGGTGGAAGATTGTGTGGTAATTTGCTCAGACATTGTGGTGAAGGGATTTTTTCAGGATAGGTGAGGATGTGGATTTCAAGGTGAGGGAGAGAGAATAAGAGAGAATCTTTAACAATAACAGTGAACATGGAGAACTTGAATGGTCATCAGTTTAGTGGGAATAGTGTTAAGAGACTACAGGATGGGTCTCATGGACACAATGAGCTTTGTCAGAGAGAAGCTGGAGAAAGGGACGAACTGTAGAGGCATTTTACCCAGCGAGGTAGTGGGAGGAAGGGAAGCAGCAGAAACAGCCAATCAAATTTTCTCAATCTCACTGAGAAAGTAGCTCCATGATCTCCACACACTTGGTGTTGTTGGTGCGGATGGAAGAGATTGGGAGAGGGTCATCCCTTCCAAACTAACTCACTCAGAACAAATGTGTGAGAAATACAAAAATAATTTCACACACTGTGTTTACTCACAAAGCTGGTTTATCTTAGTTTTATCCAGAATAATATAGTTAAAACTGAGCTGGAATTTATTAACCAATGAACATGGTTCAGTCCTGGACATGACTAACAGCAAAGTCCAACTCCTGTCGTTACGTGTGAACTCGCTGGTGAGTCAGCAGGTGGGCTTTCCAAGTGAATCCTTTTCCACACTCAGTGCAGGTGAACGACCTCTCCATAGCGTGAATTCGCTGGCGGACAATGCAATCAGATGAATGCTTGGACCCAGACCCATAGTGAGAGCATCCGAACGGTATCTCCTCAGTGTGAACACGTTGATGGGTCATCACTTCCTGAGAACTTGTAAAGCATTCCTGAAGGTCTCTCCTCAGAGTGAACTCGCTCATGTCTTGTGAGGTGTGATGACCGAACAAATCACTTCTCAAACACACTGCAGTGAACAGCCTCTTCCCCAGTGTGAATTCTCTAGTGCACAGTGACTTCAGATGATGCCTTGAATCCTTTCCCAAAGTGAGAGCACCTGAACGGTCTCTCCTCAGTGTAAACACATTGATGGGACAGCAGTTCGTCAGAACATTTATAGCACTTTGCACAGTGTGTGCATTTAAAAGGTTTCTCTCCATTGTGAACTTGCTGGTGGGTTGTCAGTTGGGATGACTAAGTGAATCCTTTCCCACACTCAGAGCAAGTGAATAGCCCCTCCCCAGTGTGACTGTGCCAATGGATATCCAGTCAGGCAGGGATTTGAATCCTTCATCACAGTCCCCACATTTCCATGGTCTCTCCCCAGTGTGACTGTACTTGTGTCTCAACAGGCCAGATGAACGGTTGAAGCTTTGTCCACACACAGACCATGCATAGGGTTTCTGTTCTCTGTGAATTGTCCTTGTTCCTTCCATGTTCAAAATCCAATGACATTCTGGTTGTGATAAATCGGACACCTCCATTAGACACTGAGATGCCACTGGATCTGTGATCCCTGATTGTAATTCCTCCTCCTCTGGCACCCTCTGAAACTGTTTTGAAACAGAAAATAAAAAGCAGTGAGAGAACACCCACAACAACACAAAGGCAAGTTCTGACATTGACATGAATGAATATGGTAATTTGTTGGGCCAGCACTGAGAGAAATTCATCATGAAACCTGCCAGAATATTGTAAAAACACAACAGGCTCACTAATGTCCATCAGGAAGGGAATCTGCACCCTCACCATCAGCAACACCCCCCACCCGCCGCCGCCCCAAGCCTGCACCTGGACAAGAGAGAAGTGAGAGAGACAGGGGGAAACAAGAGAAATTGCACATACTTACAGCTTGACCAGCACTTGAACAGAATCTCCCAAACTCTCCAGCTTCACCATCTAGAAGGGCCAGGGTAGCAGATGTATGTGGACACTATCACCTCCAAATTCCATCCAAATCGCACACCATCCTGAGTTGTCTGACATCCAGAACTGGATAGGCAGAAATATCCTCCATTGAAACACTGGAAAAATGAAAGCAGCTGCTTCAGTCTCGGTTATAAACTCAACTTCCTAGTCCACAACATCAACGCTCTCTCCTGCAACTATCTAATGCTGAAACAGTCTGATCAGAACAATCGTGTCATGCCCGAATTAAACTAAACAATACAGTCACAACATCACTGAGATGGTCTACTTCCACAGTGACATCATCCAACTCCCCCTTAGTCTCAGCTGATCTGGTTTTGATTCTTATCCATTCTCTTATTATCTCTAGACTTAACCATCTTCCTGCACCCATAAAGGGAGGCAGTGGCCTTGTGGTATTCTCGCTGGATGATAATGTAGTAATAATGACCTGGTAATGTCCCAGGGACCCAGGTTAGATTCCCACCACAGTACATGGGTGAATTTGAATTCAATAAAATCAAATCTAGAATTAAGTAATAATGACCATGAATCCACGGTCAATTGTCAGAAAAACTCATCTGGTTCACAAAAGTCCTTTCAGGAAGAAAAACAACATCCTCACCTGGTCCGGCCTACATGTGACCCCAGACCGACAGCAACAGGGTTCTCTCTTAAACTGCCCTCTGGGCAATTAGTAATGGGTAATAAATGCTGGTCTCGCCAGCAACACCCTCATCCTGTGAATGAAATTAAGAAAATCCTCCCAACTGGCCTCACACATTCAGCCTCTCAGTAATTTTGAGGTGATCCAAAATACAGCTGCTTGTGTTCTTACTGGTAATAGGTCCATCTGTGTTTCAAGGCTTGGTTGTAAATTCAGCAGATGCTGAAAATCTGATACAACAAGAGAAAATAGTGGAAATAATCAGCATGTGAGGAAATAACCTGAGAGAGAAAAAGAATGATATTTCAGGATGAGCTGAATAAATTACAGGTAATAAAAATGGTGCAGAATATCACTGTCTACATAAGCTCAGAGGCAGAAATGCACTCTGGTAGAGGAAAAGCAGTTTCAGATGATGGGAAAATAAATCCAGTAAATTAGTAGCACACTGCTGGGGCAGTGGAAACTTCATTTAGATACAATCTGCAGAAACAACAATATGAAACATAGTTAAAATACAAACATGATTAGAGGCAGAGAGCTGATTAGGGAAGACAGAGGTGTGACAAAGCAATGGATGGATATGGATTTGGATCTACAGTAAGGGAGTCTCACCAGCTCCAGAAATGTGGAGGAGGAGAGTAGAACCAAAGCTTCAAATTGCAAACGAAAGCTCAATAATTTTAACCTCTGATACAATTTCATTGTTTTCAATTTTAAAATCCCTGGCTGGATCCATATTCTTGAGGGAAATCAGAAACACTGGAGAAAAATCTCTCAGTCTTCAAATCTTTTAACTCCCCAGAAAAGGATATCATGAAGGTCATGAATGTCAGTAACAGACAGAATTTTAGAGGAGACAAGTATTTCCCTTGGGTGAGTTTGTAATCTGTAAATCATCCCCTTCCCTCCCCTGCAAGAAGACTTTCTAAATTCCCTATCCATCAGTCCAGACAGAAATGCACAACATGACCTTTCTGCCTCCTGAGTGAGGCTGTCTTGCACACGCTCAGTTTCTGTTCAGATGGCAACCCGTCAACCCCCCAGGTTTCTCAATAATTTTTCTCATGGTAGAAAACAAAAGCATCTCTGGAAATAATGAGCTGTCAATGGTCTGACAAAACTAGGAAGTTATAGAAATCAGTATGAGCAAAGACAGTGTAGAAATCAAGGTGACTAAATTACAAGAAACCCTCTTGACGAAAGAGTTCCATTCCATTCTAGGGTTTGAAAAACTGAGCCGTAGAGAGTGGTTTCTTTGTTTTCAATCTTCCATAGATTCATTGAGACACTGACAATCACTGTTCCCTCAACAATCCATCCATTGATGTGAGATAGATAAGAAAAAATAAGCCGAAGTATGTATGTCATTCATTAGGCCAGAACTCAAATCCTGTGTGCAGACTAGTCACTCCATTACAGAAAGTGTATAGTTATACTCAATCTCAGCAATACTTCCAAAGGGCTAAAAATCCTGGAATTCCCTCCCTAAGGGCATTGTGGGTCTCCCTACAGCAGTTTAGGAAGGCAGCTCATCACCACCTTCTCAATGGAAACTAGGGGTGGGCAATATGTGCTGGTCCAGCCAGTGATGCCACCTTGCCACACAATGTGTTCAAACCTCATCTGCCACAGACGTGTGTCATCTCATGTCCAAATTGACTGATGAAAAGGAAATATGTAATTGCATTGGTGAGGGGATATTTGGTCGGACTGGAAAGTTGCAGCTAGGAGGAAGGGTTGTCTAGGCTGAGGTTGTCGAGGCTGAGCCCCTGAAACAAAGGAAACAGGCGTAAGATTAGATTGAGGTGTAGTGATTGTAACAAAGCCAGGCAGGTGGCCCTCACAGAATATGAGTTCCCCGATTGGGGCTGTTAACCTGGTCCAATCAAGGAGATAACAAGGTGTTGAGCTGAATGAACACAGCAGGCCAAGCAGCATCAGAGGAGCAGGAAGGCCGACGCTTCGGGTCTCGACCCTTCTTCAGAAATCAGGGAGCCCTGCTTAACAGATAAGAACAAGAGTATCGGACATCCTGTTCACTGTGAGGGAGCTGGATCACGTGTAAATAAAGGTTGACTTGCTGACAGGAAACCAGCCTACCTATGTCACGTTATTTCATAAGGTGTCCAAGGTTGAGAGGGTCCTCGATGGACTGGATGAGAAGGAGCTGTTTCCCTCAGCAGGGAGCTCGGTGACAGGGCGAAGTTGGGGAGGTGGTGGTGCAGCAGGGAGACAGAGATTGAAAGGGATTGGTGGAATGACTAGAGGAAGAGGGAAGGGCTGGATCCTCACCCATTCCATTCTGGTATCTCTGCTCCAGGAAAGACATTGTTAAACTTGAAAGGCTGCAGAAAAGAATTATGACAATGCTGCCAGGATTGGAGGGTTTGAGCTATAAGGAGAGGTTGAACAGATGGAACTATTTTCTCTGGAGCATCAGAGGCTGAGAGCAGACCCTTATAGAAGTTTATAAAATGCACAAGAGGCAGGGATAGGGTGAATAGCCAAAGTCGTTTTTTCTCCAGGGTAGGGGAGTCCAGAACTAGACGGCATAGTTTTAAGGTGAGAGGGGAAAAGTATTAAAGGGATCTAAGGGGCAATTTTTTCACGCAGAGGGTCATGCATGGATGGAATAAGTTGCCAGAGGAAGTGGTGGAGGCTGGTACAATTATAACATTTAAAAGACATCTGGATGGTTAAATGAATAGAAAGGGCTGACAGGGATATGGGCCAAGTGCTGGCAAATAGGACTAGATTAATGTGGGATATCTGGTTGGCATAGACAAGTTGGACCGAAGGGTCTGTCTGTGTGTTGTATGACTCTATGATGTTACAATGGTGGCTGTTTCCCTGGGTAACCCTGACACATCACAACGGAGAACCCAGTGCGTGACTCCATCTCTAAGGTGGTGGCTGAGAGCCTGTTGCTCCTTGACTTATCTCTGCCTATGGGGTAAACATGGGGCCTGAGGGGCTCACATCTGGGGCCCTGAAGTCTCCCCTGGGGATTTGCTAAGTTCCACAGAGGCCTTCCTTACATGGTTTCTGTTCCCGACCAGACTCACAACATCCTTCCGCTGTTCACAACTCCTCAGTCTCCTGCCATCAGTACAACTGAGCACCTGGTCCTGCACTTGCACCCTGAGTTGCAGAGTCACAGAGCACAGAAACAGACCTTTCACTCCAACCAGTCTATGCTGACCAGTGTCACAATCTAAACTAGTTCACCTGCCTGTGTTTGGGCCATATCCTTCGAAATACTTCTTTTTCGTGTACTTATCTAAATGTCTTTTAAACGTTGTAACTGTACCCACATCCACCACCTCCTCTGGCAGTTCATTCCATACATGAAACACTGTGTAAAACAATTGCCCCTGTGTCTTTTTTAAAATCTTTGTCTTCTCACCTTAAAAATATGTCGCCAGTCTTGAAGTTCCCCCAATCCTAAGGAAAGGACTGCTATTCACCCTGTCTCATGATTTATAAACTGTAAGGTCACCTCGCAACCTCCTACACTCTAGTAAAAATGTCGCCGCCTATCCAGCCTCTTCTCAAAACTCAAACGCTCCATCCCTGGCAACATCCTGTCAAACTTCTTCTGAATCCTCTCAAGCTTCATAATATCCTTCCTATAACAAGAAGACCAGAACCGGACAGAGAAAGGCTTCACCAGCTTCCTGTACAGAGTCAGCACAACGTCCCAATTCCTATACTCAAAGACCTGAGCAATGAAGGCATGCGTACTAAATGCCTTCAAAATCACCCTATCTATTTGTGACGCAAACTTCAAAGAATTGTGTACCTGAACCCCTCAGTCACTCTGTTCTACAACACTACCCAAAGCCCTATTTTTAATTGTACAAGTTTTGCCTTTGTTTGTTAGCATGTCATCTGGGAAGTAAACAAAAGGTGGAGATAGAGCCCAAAGAGGGAAGAAAACAGTTGAATAGACAATGACTGGTGTGAGGAAAGGTCAGTCCCGGAGAATGAATGGCTGCTAATGTGGATGTGGTAGCAGCCTGTGCAATGACAGGGCCTACTGTGTGGGCTTTGGAGTGAGGACATGGGAGAAGGTACTGAAGTCCTAAAATTGCACTTTTCTGGACTCAAAGTCCAGTTTAACAAAGTTCCCACGTGGAAACTGAGATGTTCTTCCAGCTTACATTGAGCTTCCCTGAAGCCCCGCCCCTTATTCACTCCCATTGGTTGGAGGACCAA